CATATAAGGACTGCTTATGGTTTTTTAGAATAATTTTATTAATTTTAAAATAAGAAAAGTAAAAACTAATGCAAACTAATATTAAAGATAGAGAATAAAGAAGAAAGGAAAGAATGAAAAAGAAGAACAAGAACCAAGTCAAAACTGCAGAAAAAAAGAAAAAATACAAGAAAGAATGACTTCCGACTTTCCTCACAACAAATATAAGTATAAAATTACACTAAACTCTTACTCTAAGTTTACAACATAGCTTTCATTTTTTCCTATAGTCCACTATTATTTCTACTCATGAAATCCATACATCATAATTTCATTTTTTTCTGTTTCACACAAAAAGTCCAAAAAGGGCTTCCAACTGGCATTAAAATTACCATCTCAGCCAACTCCATCAATTTTATCATCCATTCTACCATTGTTGGTAATGTCAAATCTTTCCACCTTTGTGCATATAAAAGCCTCGCTGCTATTATCATGTATAGAAACAAATATAACACTGAATTTAATCTTTTATTTCCCTTTTGGAAACCTTGTATTAGCTATGTCTTATAAATGAAATTCATTGTTAGTTTTTGAAAATTGAGATTTTAAAACAAGGACCTTTTTTTCCTTGTATTGTTCTCATTAGACCAAAAAAAAAAAAGGACGAATATGGTTTCTTTGTAATATATTTCTGTGATGGCATAGTAAGTAAATGGTTTTGTTTAATCCAGATCCACGTTGATTTCTTCAGCACATTTACAGGATGCTATCTAATTTATGGTTCAAAGAATTGGTTCATCCTGGCGCTAGTGTACACTGAAACCAGAATTTTCATTTTTGTCTGAAACATGAAGGTTCAACAGATATAGTTGCAATACATTATTCTTGAATATCGATACAACTTTTCTTTTCTTTTTGCATGTTTGTGAAGTGCTATTTAACTATGAAAGGCAATAATACCATGTGTCTTGTACAAATCTTGCTGTTATGTATTGCTCGGTTTCATTTATAAAGGTTTACCATTGTACTAAATTAATCCCTCTGTCTGCTTATGCTAATATTCTTGACCTAAATACTTTAAAAGGAAATGTGATTAAGAGGATTAGGATTTATGACAAAAGTTTTATGTCAGGTACCCTAGTGAGAATTGTTAAAAATTTTCAAAAGAGCTTGTATAATATTTATTAATGAATTCAGTTCTAAATTAACATTATTCTCCAAAACATGTTTTAACTTATTTTAATATAACTTGATTTCCTATTTAATTTAATTGTTCTACTTTCTCTGAGAGCACTTTCCTTCTTGCTTTTGAAATGACAACTATCCTTACAATTTTAGATATTGATTTAAACACTAATTTGAGAAGTCTAATGTTCAGCCTTGGGGACACCTCTTTATAGCTGTGTGATGGTGGATGTATGCTTATGTATGCTTGTGGTTTTTTTATTCTTATTCAGAAATTTTCTCAATCTACACACACATGTACATACTGATATGCTAAAATTTCATCTACATCTGTTGCTCTCATGTGGAAAAATTTCATTTCCTGGCACTGTTCCTACATAACATCTCTTCAACAAAAACACTGAACATTTTTGCAGTGATTCCTAGGCTCATAACCAAGATGTGGGATAGATTTTAAAATTCTGATCTCCAAAACGATCCCAACATAAGCATGAGATTCAGTTGATATACATCATATGAGTTTTGTAAGCTCCAGGATTTCACTGGCTTTCTTAACTCAACCACTCCAGTCATAGAACTTCATTCCTAACTGATGTATTCCATTATCAGCATTTTCTAGATACCAGGCAAAAAAAGCCTCCAATTTTATTGATCTCGGCATTTTAAGTTTGGTGGGAGGGAGATAGTTAAAGAAATAAAAATAATTCTACAGTCTGAGAAAGGGTGGTATGAAGGGTTAAATTAAACTTAAAAACAAAAAGATTTATGAATTACTGCTAGCCAGGTATTAGAGCAAACATTTGTGATTCAAAAAAATACTACTCAAACTTTTTTGACACCGTTGAAATGAAATAGCACAATCTTACTTAATTTCAGTGGAACTGACACAGGATCCTTTGTTTTTCTGGGATTAGGGTGAGTGGAATTGTGTCCAGTTAACAGAGATAGCTTCACATTAGTCTTCCTCTCTATTTTGTGGGTATGTCTGCTGTTTAAAGATTTCCAAGTAATACCATGTTCATGCTAATAAGCTTGAAGAAGTGCCTGTAGCATAAGTGGAAGATGATACTACTTTATTAAGTCTAGAAAAAAATGGAAGGAAACAGTGCATCAGATAAGAATGCCATCTTTGAACCATACGTTGTTGGCAAGTGTTTGAAACAGAACCTTGTTTGACATGTGTTTACTGTGGGGTAATATACGGTGTGGCCCTAACAAAGATAACCTTTGTAGAAGAAAGTACGTTGTGCTTTTATTCTGAGAATTGCTCTTATTGAAAATAGCAGTGTATGTTATTGCTGATTTTTTTTTTAAATGCTTTCATCTTTATTTAAGTGGGATGAGGAATTGAGGAGAGAAGCCATAAAATTTCAAAAGTTGACGTGTCCAGGGAAGGTCTCTTGGTTTAGAGCTGCAGTTTTGTTTTTCTTTAACAGAAGGAATTTATTTATGCTGATTCAGAGCTGTATTGTATTGGGAAGTTGGGAGGAAGTGAGTGTAGCTTAGAAGGAGTAATAACAATAAAAGTCACACCATGCTGCACAACACTGACTGAACCCGGAAATTTAAAAAATATGTTTTGAGGAGCTATAATAAACAAAGGATATATCAGCTCAAACCTGATTTTTCTATGCTGGTGGCAATTTTATTTATAATAAGCATAAGCAAAAGAAAAAGAAAAAAGAAATTGGAACAATTTACTAAAAATCTTTTGGTTTTGCACAGGCTGAATAAGGCAAATAATATTGGAGAGGATGACTGGTTCCAGATAGCTGCGTGTAAATCTGACAATGTCAGATAAAATGTCATTGACATTCTACAGAAATAAGAGAGAGAAGATCAATCCCTCAAAATCAGGAGGAACACTAAAGGATTTTCACGTACTGCCTTTATAGACATCCTACCCCCCCCCAAAAAAACGGATTTAAATGATTTTTGTGGGAATACAAATCCAGCAGTTGCCCATAATCACTGAAAAGGAATTCTTTATTGCAAATCCTACAGTTGGCTGTTTGCAAGGATCTGCTTTCTTCTCTTGGTCTGGTGAAGACAGGGAACCTCTATGCTTTCCTGCTGTGTCTGGATGGCTTGCAGACAGATTCTTCAGGAGGAATGGCTGGCACCTCATGGGAAATTTTGCCTCCAGACATTGGGCACTTTGGATGAGGACAGCTGTGAAAAGCAGTAGTGACTATAGCATCCTAGCTGTGTAATGAACCATGGGATATTGCAAGTCAGGAAACCATCTCAGATTAAATTGATTTTGTAGTAGTAGTAGTAGTAGAGGAGGAGGAGGAGGAGGAGGCAGCTGCCATTTGATAATTAAATTCTTGCTGAATATTATTCAAAAAAATAGAGTAGTACATTGCTTTCAGTTGTATTTTATACGTGTATAATTGTATCTAGTGTTTTTCCATTTCATTCATAAAGAACACACCTTCATTTGTGTTCAGCTCTGATATTCATAACCTCAAATGATAATTTGCTTTAACTTTATCTCTGTGAATCTTTGTATTACTTGTACACTATTTACTCTAAACATTTTTACTATAGCAATCTGATATTCTCCAGATACACTAGATATTTTGTTGCCTTCAAATCAGTTTTGACTTCTCTTGACTGCATGGAGAAGTTCATAGAGTTTTTAGGCAACATTTTCAGAAATGGTTTGCCATTGCTGCCTTCTTAGTGATGAAGGTGACTGGCCCAGTTGGCTTCCATACCTACAGCAGGAGTAGAACTCAGATCTCTCCTTTTCTAGTCCATCACCTTAACCACTAGACCAAAACCCATAATTCCCAGTATGATTGTCAGCCGCTGATGGGATAGTTATAGTCCAGCATGTTTGGAGGTCATCTTATGTGGGATAAAGTGTTCCATTTTTAATTATATGACTAGTTCCACCTTGCATACTTCATTTATGATTGTGCTTATCTTGTTCTTCAGTGTCTTTATTTGTTTGAAGTAGCTTTTAAAAATTAAGTTCACAGATCTTTATGCAGAAAATGGCGCAAAATATATTTTAAAATAGTGTAAATAACTTTGAGGCAATATGTGTGGTCAAATTGTGATCATGATGAATTGACTATCAGGATATATGGAATGAATGAATGAATGAATGAATGAATGAATGAATGAATGAATGAATGAATGAATGAATGACTTTACTGAGAGCCAGCAATTTTGCAGGAAGAAAGGGTGCTTTTTCATATATTGAGAATGTCGGTGTTTTGTGTGAACTGTGAGAAATGGGACTGTTTCCATCTCCATTAACAGTATTCTAGTCTGAAAGGCTAGGCAGCATCCAATGTCACCTAAGGCCGTGTTTTCTTGTTTTGTAGGAACTCTCATTCAGCTGCACATCAAGGTAGATCACTTCAGACTTGAGAGCGTTATGAGACTCTCATAAGATTTTGCTTATTAGGTTTGCTTATGCTTGTGCCAAGAAAAAAATCCCAACATCCTATCAAAAGGTTCCATTAACATTGCTTTTGTTTGTCTATGCTGAAGCCTCCTTTATGCCAGAAAGGTGGGCTTTTACAGGCGCCTTTCGCTGTATCCTGCCTGCATGTTTGCTTTTGTGATGTCTTGAAATCTTTAGTGTCAAGATTTCTTCAGAATAAAGTTGAGAACATGATATTCTGCTCCAGAAATCATGGTGCAAAAAAGCCTGAAAGTTCCTCGGTAGCTCTGAAAAAAAGCTGAGGTATTCTCGCTTCCTCAGATAGGAAAGCTCTGCATTTTGCAAAAGTTATTTATTTTTGTTTGCCTTTCTCTTGGAAAAAAAATAGCCATGTAATGCCTTTCTTTTTTCCTCCTTTTTTGTATGTACTCAGGAGTTCAGACTCTGAAGAAGCATTTGAAACACCAGAATCTACAACTCCTGTAAAGGCTGCACCTCCGCTACCACAACTACCACCTGAAGTTGTAGCATTTGACATAGAAGAACCGGAAGTAAGACCTCAGCTTCCATCAGAAGACACAGGTAACACTTTTACAGTGAATAGGATGGGCTCCTCTGCACATCCACAGTTTGTGCACTTGGAGAGCATGAGAACAGATTTGGGAACAGCCTTAGTATTCTTGAAGAGTGTTTGTAGTTCAGTAGTAGAACCCATGCTTTGCATGTCAAGGCATTTGGTTTAATCATTAAGAATAACTCTGATTAAGAACTTGGAAAGCCACTGTTAGTTAACAATCACGCTTATTGTAAAGCACCTTTACGTGTTAGGTTAAAAATATTGATCCTCTCATTACCTTGTTCCCTGTGAAAGAGCTTGTATAAACAGTTTTATTTTAATTTAATTTAATATTTCAATTTTGAGGCCTCCTGATTCCTCTGGATGGATTATAATTAAAAAAGAATTAAAAAGAAAATAACATATATCAAAGAAAAGGGAATACAGCTGACCACACAATTAAGCCTGTTGGATGGCATTTTTGCCTTATTTCAAAATAAATGTACAGTGAAGATGAGAAGTATAGAATTCATCCAAGCTGACTTTCTTAACAACCAGAAACTTTTCCCGTATTTTTGTTCTGGACTTCCTCTTGTATATGACAGTGATTCACTGATAAGATTCAATGTTTGGGAACCAGGTTTTGCTTCTCTCAACAATAGTGACTATCCCATATTACCTTTCTAACCTACTAAGCTAATATGGTGTACTTCAGGGGTGGAAACCTCACAGCCCTCTCCACAAAGTGCTGTATGCAGGTGCTGGAGCCCTATGAAAAGTTGTTACTGTAATTATGTTATTTGTAGTCAATTTAACTACAGTTAGAGTCCATTAAACCATGTTTAGCTTTTGTCCAGACCTCAGTCACTTCTTTGTTCTTTGCATTCTTCAGGTTACAGCCCCAGCACACCTCCCACAGGCCAAGTGAGCTCCGTGTCTCAAAGTAAGTTGGACAGGAATGCTGTAAAGTATTAGCCCATCATTAGCTCCCCAACATCCCCCCCCCAACAGCCTGTTAATAAAATATGTGTCTGTATATGTGTTTATGTTTGTGTGCACAGAGAAATGGAAGTTTAAGAGTCAGTTTCTGCATATTTTTGTACAATGAATCTCTGCTTCAGTTAGAATTAAGAGGTTTTGGACTGGGCAAGTTGCAAAAATTGTAAATAAATAAATGTGCTTGGTTAATCTCCTGACAGCCTGTAACAATTAGAATATCATGCCTATTCATCTGCTTGGAAACCTTATGTAATGAATACAAAGTTAATACAATAAAAGGTGGTGAATCTTTACTTCTATGGTGAACCAGAAGTAACCCAGAAAAAAAGACAACAGCGAAGTGTATCTAAATTAAAAAATAGTAATACATTATTATTCTGAGACCTCCATTCTGGGCACCTTTCAACAATGAATACTTAGCATTTGCTTTGCAAACTGGGGTACTCTGAGGGTCAAAATTCGCACATCTGGAGAGCACTTAGATTGGTGAAGGCTGTCTTCTAAAGTCCAGAGAAATCAGGGTATCACTGTCAAAAGCATCTATACATAACTTGGCCACAACTTTTGCTGCATATGCATTGTTATTTAAATATCAATAGATGTTGTTCACCGTTGCATATTTTTCTGCAAAAAGTGTCTGCACCATCATTAAGCCATCAGAAAACACAATTGGTACTTAAATAAATGGAGAAACCCTTCACAGGGATTTTGTACTAGATGTATGAATATCCCCTGCTTGTCTTTCACCATTGTCTTTTTACATTTATCATAAATCTGTACAGAACAATTATCCTTCCACATTTATTGTTATCTGTATGAAAAGGAAATTAATTTTCCTGCTTGCTAAAGGAATGTAAATGGAGAAGGAGGGAAGAGCACTTACGTTAAATAGGATTTGAAGAGTGGTCTTTAACTACAAAACCAAACTGCAATTCATTATGAGATCCCAGTTATTCACATTTATTCCTGTTTATTTCTATCCCTTTCTGTATTCTTTTTCTTTCATTCCTTCTGTGTTTTAAGCAGTAGAGAGTACTATATTCACAGTTTTCCATAGTGAAAAGAAAGATTATCATCTAGACTTTCCATATCAAACCAAGATACTGAATGAAAGGCAGGATATAAATGTAATAAACAGTTCCTGTTTTATGTATGATTTATATCCATGGTTATTTCCTTGTGTTTTGCATGTATTTATATTCCAGTTGTAAAAGACCTCTGGTGTGATACCATCCAAAGCCAGTACTATTCATACGGCAAACCCATGCCAGATTTAATGTAACAGAAAAACTCCAGTCTCGGTGATTAAATGTCATGAATAGTAAAACTCCCTTGTTGAGACGGCTTTGAAGTGAAAGGGCAACATTCCTTTCATTTCTGACCAGTTTTTGGTGTCAAGAGGGCAGGATCTAAAAAAGCGCTCTCTAGACACAAAGCCGCATTGTCTACTCTTCAAGTCTTCCTGGAATGGCTTTTCCACTTCATTGTTCTGTTTTCATTAATACGTTGAACGGAGTTCTTAGAATAGCTTGCGTATGCACTTTTGAAGTTAGAGTATAAGAAGGGGGAAAAAAAGAAGTCAGCTTACCCAAAAAGTATTGTGAATTACTCTACTGTATGTAGTTTATTCTAGTAAATTAACTGTAGAATCAGGTATTTGAATACTTCTAATATTGATAATGTGGTGAGCTCATTGGAAAAGTAATGTGTTGGAGCAAGCACATTCTTTGTAAGAACTTAACATAAAAGACCAGTGCATTTGAGTCAGGAAGTTAGATAAGCCTGCTGTCCAATATGAGGCACAATATGTTTTACTGTGTTGTGTTGTGTTGTGTTGTCTTTTATTTTATTTTATTTTATTTTATTTTATTTTATTTTATTTTATTTTATTTTATTTTATTTTATTTTTCCCTTGAATTGGAGGTTTTTAGTCCTTGGTAGCCCAGAGCTGTATGCTGAGTGGGCATTTATGTACATTGATTAAATAAATAGATATTCATAAAATGTGTGACTTGCCTACAGGTAAATCTGAATTTGCCAAAAGTTCTCTCAAATAAAGGATGTGTATGTGTTGGTCAGGTGAGTCAAACAAACAGTTGCTAGCCCAGGTGGACTCACGGAATCAGTATAGTGGACCAGAATCTGTGGCATAAAACAACAGTGCCAAATTATCATAATAATGATATCATACCATATATCAATATCATATCAAGTACATTACTTTGGAGAAACATATTCTTTAGGACCAGGGAAATTAGTATCTGGTAAAGAGAAAGTCCCCCTTGAGTCGAGCTCAGTTCCTGGTCATTACGTGGACCCGTGTTTGTTATTGCCTTTTTTTAGGATGCTTTTGGACTTCCCAGCCTAGTCTATAGCTCTGAGATCTCCTGGTGCTCTCTTATCCAGGCACCAACCAGATCTCTACCCGCTGTGCTTTTTTGAGATCAGCCAAGGTCAGCTAGGTGCTGCCACCTTCTCGGTGGATCCCGCCCTTTCTAATCTTGAGAGGAAGGTCAGTATGTGAGAAATAATTGGGGAATTTCCTAAAGAACAAACAGTGAATAGGGGTTGTAGTGGTTAAAGTAACAGCTCACTCCATCAAAATAAGATGAAAAAAGTGAAAAGAAAGCATCATAGAGAACTTACCAGCCTCTATGGTGTAACCTGGTGGTTACACTACCAGCCTCATAACTCAGATGCAGTTTGGTCTTTAAATAAAGCCCCTATTTCAAAGAATTGAAAAACTGACATTCTAATATTGTTTTTTTTACAAAGAGAACTGGGATCCATGAAATTAGATACATCATTTATCTTGATGTCTGTGCAAAATAAATCATTGGCCTGGTATCAGGTTGGAAAAGACTGATATAGAGGGATAAGTCTGGCTAAGGAAATAATGACACAGCACAGAGTACAAAGGCTGGATGGATAAAGGTATATGAGATAAAATGTGAGTAAAATAAAGGAAACACCAATTCTGAGCATCACATAGACTCAGAATTTGAACTAACATTGACACAAGATTAGTACTGTCCAAGAAGAATTTATTTTGGCTCTGGAATTCATTTTACAGTAATTAAAATCTGTGTGAGAATTAGAAATAGTATATTAAATAAAAACCCAATCATGACCCAAATAATCCCATGTGAATTGCAGTGATAGCACATTGTCACATTTTTGTCCAATACATCAAGTTGCATTGCCTTGTCAGTATTGCAACATTATGTAAGGCTAAGCATAATATAAGCCAATTAACCTCAATGGAAGATGCTGCCAAGAAGAGGATTGAGGGCAAAGATTGCAATCTGATCAGTGTCCAAAAACGAGCTCCTTACGTGAAAAGTGCACAGCAGCTCAGCTGGCAAAAGTAGTTGTAATTAAAGACACACAGTAGGAATAAGTCCCAACCCAAGTCCTTAGAGCAGGAAAATCATCCTTCATCAAATGACCATGCTTTATTGGTGTTTGGTTTGAAGGAAATCGTGTATTTGCTGGCTGGTGATGGCTTTTCCTTTTTGGGGGTATAGGGATCTGTCTGAAATTATCAATCTGGAAACAAGATCTCAGGATATTAGTATTCTGTTCATTGTAATTTTGAAATCATTTCTATAGTAGGATGAGTTAATGAACTGTGAAGTCTGGGTATGCACACTGAGGCAAGCATGTTTCTCACCACTGACCCCATTCTTTGGATTCTCCTCTGCACTTTTGTTAATTTATTCAGGTAAATGTTCAACAGGTAGTTTTGTAAATATGGTTAACATGCTAAAAAGCACAGACTGGTAGATATAATTCTCCCTCTGTGCCTACAAAACATATCTTTTTGGCTGCCTGTGTTAGATGTCCATGTGCTTGTATGGCAGTAATGGAACCCCTCACGTTCAGAAAAGCAACGTTTAGTATATTGTGAATGTACATCCCTTGCACTATGGATGTAATAACTAATGAAACAATTTTAAATAGCAGTTAGCTACACAAAGCTCAGTGTTTTCTTTCTTTTCTAAACAGCATGTAAAAGCCTATGATTAAACTATAGAATTTTGCAGTCTTCTTCCATGAAAATAATGTAGGTCTAATGTTGAATCTGTAGCTCTAGCTCAAATCATTGTCCACTGGAATACGGTATTTTTCTGTGTATAATATGATACTTTTTTCTAAAATCATTATACTAAAAATTGAAGGTCGTCTTATGCAAGGAAGTAAGCCGTGGAGAGAACCGCGCGGTTGCGAAACTGCCCATACTTTGTCTCTGCAAACAGGCTTCCTCCAACCACGAGCCTTATGTAACTGACGTCAGCTGATGCTGAACAAACCAAT